CAAAAATTTTCTCCCCCCACCGGGTTTTTTGTCGAGGCCCCCCCCCCCCCCCCCCCCCCCCCCGTACTTGATACTCAACACACCAACGAGTTTTTCGCTCCAATTTTTTTTTCTCAGCGGGCGGTGGCCGCGTGACCTTCGTCTTTGAACCTCGGAACGCCTACTACAACGATGTTTCCGTCACAGGTTGGGTTGGAGGTGTGCGACTGCGAGCTAGGCGTCCCACTCGACGGTGGTATCGGCGCCGACGGCGGCAGCGGCGGTCTAGACGGCATCATCGCCGGTCGGGCGGGCAGTCGGGTTGCCGCTAAACTCGGCCTCCTTTTGACAGACGTGACGTGGACGGCACCCGCCGTCAGGCCCGCCGCCATCACCGAAGCAAGCGGCGGTGGCGGTCCGGGGGGGAGTCTCTCCGTGGAAACGCTGGTGTCTTCGGCCGTGGTCAAGCTGGAACCGGAAGGGTTTAACTTGTTGGAGGCCGTGCACGCTCGAGTGCTGGGCAGGTTCCCGCTGGGGGCGACAGGAGCGGCAGACCCTGCTGCACCACCAACCGGCGGCGGGGACGGCGGCGGCCACACCGGCCCCCCTCGGGACGACGACGACCTCGCGGAGAAAGCACGGGAGAGGTCGAGCCGTGGCGATGATGCCGTTGCGGCGGAAACCCTGCTTCTTCCCCCGAGACCCGTCCTATCGCGAGGCCAAGGCGGCGGTGCCGGTGCCGGCGTCGTTGCCGGTGCGGGCGGCGGCGTCTCGGAACGTCCCCAGCTTGGGGTGGCAGTGTCACCGGTTCGGTTCAACCTCACGGAGCTCCACATGCTCGGTCTCGCGCGATTTGCGATGGACGCTTCCGCCCGGCTGGCTGTTGTTTTCGCCGGGCCTTCTTCTCTTTCGCCGCCGCATGTTCTTTGTTCACAGCATGGTGAGAGCACCACCGCCGTGGTAGCAGTAGACTCGGCGACCGACGAGCCTGAGGGGGAACGACTAGCGTCTGCTTCGGTGGAGGGATCGCAGGCGGCGGCAGTAGCAGCAGCCGTAACGGAATCCGCTGATGCCGGTGCCGTTGATGTCACTGCTGGGAGCAACAAGAGCGACCAGGCGACGGCGGTGGCAAACGGTCGGGGTGCGGCGGCACCATCCCCTCCGCCGCCGGAAGGAGACCGGAACCCGCCGCAGGGTTTCAACGACGCGCCCGCTGTTTCCACCCTTCCCCGGCACCAGCTTGCCAACGGACCGCCGCGCAACAACGACGCCACGCTTGGCGAGGGCGACCGGCAGCACGCGGGCGAGGGGGTGGCGACATCAGCGGCGGCGGTAACGACGTCTGCGCCTGAGACGGTGGCGGCGGCGAAGGCCCCACCTGTCCCGCCCGCGTTCCTCGGGACGTTCATCGTTGACGCCATCAGCGTGATGCTGCTGGAGGAGGGGGGGGAGGACTCAGGTCGACGCACCGGCGGCGGCCGAGCGACGGCCGCGGGTGCTCTTCCCGCCGGTGGTGGCTACCCCGAAGCGAGGGTCAACGGGGTCGCGCGAAAGCACCCAGCGCCTGCTGACGGAGCGGCGACCGACACCGCCGCGCCGGCCACCCGCCGCCGCCGACGCGGCGGGGGTGGCGAAGAACGACATCGGGGCACAAGAGCGGCTGCGATCCCCGGGACTCGGCACTTCTGCTACTCCGGCTTGGTTTTCCTTGAGGTCGAAGGAATCGGTGCCGCGGTCGACGTCCCTTCGCCCGGGGCGGCGGCGGCGGCGGCCCAGTCTTCGCCGGTCGTGCATACGGCTGCGGCCGTAGCGGCGGTGGTGGTGGGCAGTGCACCAGACGAACAGGGCGGCGGTAGAGTAGATCAGCAGCAGGGGCAGCAGCACCAGCAGCACCAGCAGCAGTATCGAGCAGAGTTTGCCATCAAGAGGATTTCGCTGACGGACGTGAGCGATAGAAGGCGCCGGCTGGGCGCACTCGCCAAGCTTGTCAGCGGCGACGATATTGCCGCCCGGGCGGCTGCCGCCGAAGGTGGGCCAGGGCCAGCGGCGGGCAGCGCGGAAGGGGGCGAGGACGGTCGCCGCCGAGAGAACGGTGGCGGTGACGAGTTGCGGGTTCTCCCCGCGGGTTGGTGGCGGCAACCCCGCGGGACCGAGAGCGGGTGTGAACGGCAAGAGGTGCACGACGGCGGCGGCGGGTACGACGAACAGGTGCTGCTCCGCGCGCGCGTGTGCCCGGTTTCGGGCACGGCGACGGCCGACGCTCGCCTGGCGTCCGGGCGCTTCGTGTTGCTGGCGGCGCCCCTGTTGGACGTCTTCGGCGCGGTGGCCGGCGTCCAAAGAGGACTCGCCAGGGGTCCTTCTTGTAGAGCAGAGTCGGGCGTTGTTGCTGCTGCTGTGGAAAGCGAGGAGAGTAGTCTCGGGGTTAGAGGCGGCGGTGAGGATGGCAATTCGACACGAGTAGACGAGGCATCGACGGCCGGGGGGGTTCGGCCAGCAGACGAGAGGCTGCTGCGGCCGTCGGCGGCGAGCTCGCCGCCGCCGCCACCGCGGCAGGAGGAGGGCCGCAGCGGTGATGCCGCCACGGGTATCCCCGAACAGGAAGAAGACGGGCTCGGCAATAACTGGCGGTGGCAGGCGTCTCGCGCGCTGAGCGACGCCGGCCTCGCCGAGATGCTCTGGCTGCGACGAATCGACGTGTCGGCGTCCGCTCACGACCTGCAGCTGTGGCTTCCCGGCGGCGCCTCGGAGGCGGCGGCGGTGGACGGGGAGGCCGGCGTGGAAGCCATTGTTGCGGCCTGCGGGCGCTGTCACGCGGCCTTGTCGATCGCGGTGGGCTTGGTTGCCGAGGGCCCGGCGGGGGCAGTGTCGTCCGTTGAGCGCTCCCGTCGTGCCGCTGGTCCGCCGACGACCCCACCCCGAGCGGCGGCGCGAGGGGGCGAGGAGGAGGTTGACGCTGCTGGTGCTGCTGCCGGCGTTGCTGCTGCTGCTGATACCGATGCTGCTGAGACAACGGCTGCCGAGATCTGCGCGATGAGCCTAGACCTTGAAGGCCTGCAGGTTTTCGTCGCGCGGCCGTCGATGTCAGACTTTGGACCCTCGCAGCAAGAGTCGTCGCCTACGCCGCCGCAGCCGGAGGAAGCAGTGCCGGCTGGTCTTCGTGAAGCGGATGATGGTCAAGAGCGGCAGCCCACCGCACCTGCGCCTGCGCCCGCGGGGACGACCGGACGCTGCCTTCGGGGTGGTTTGTCGAACGGCGAGGGACTCGTCCTCCCGTTCCGGGTGGACTTCAAGCACGTTATTTTGGCCCGGTCCTCTCCGCCGCCGCCGTCATCATCGGCGGCGGCGGCGGTAGCGGCCCCGTCGTCGCAGCTCGTTAGCGAATTGGATGGATCGGTGTCCCCGATAACGGTGCGCGTTTTCTTAGACTTCCCGCTGGCGACGTGCATCATGACGAACTCGCTTGGACCGCTGCTGCTCGCCGGCGGCGGCGGCGGCGGCAGCGCGCCGGCATCATCAACGAAGGTGTCCTCCAGTCCCGGGGCGACGGCGGCAGCGGCGACGGACGGGGCGGCAAGCACACCCCGCTCCCTGTCGCACGGCGGCGGCGGACGGGGCCCCGGCGAATCACCAGCGGGTGCGGTCGCGACTTCTCTTCCTGTTCCCCCTTCTACCGCAGCACTACCGTCGGCGACTGCAGTGTCGGAGCTGGCGACGATGTGGACTTGCCGCGGCCGGTTTCAGGCGGCGGGCGCGAGGATGAAGATCGTGAATAACTTCTACCGTCAGAAGAGGCCTGCCGTCGTCGTCAAGGTGGGGAAGGAAGGAGGCCCCTTCAGTCACTTTCGTTCATGTTTGGTGCGTTTAACGAGCTGTCTACCTAATACTGTTGCCTATTTTTGAGGGGGCAGATGTCGCCAATGGTTAATAGTTGCGCTGCTCTGGCCTTCGTAGTCCTGGGGTTCGTGTCGCGTTTAGAACGTTGCACCTCCTACTTCACGATTCGCTGCTGCATGCATTGATTGCTGGAGTGTGTAGTAGGCTGTGAAGCGTATTTTTTTCCCCGCGGAATGCCGCCTTTGGTGCTACGACATATCCGATTGGGCCGAACTCAAAGGGAGAAAAACAGATGAGCACAGAGACAAGACGGTGAGATAATCTTCTTTTGATCCGACAAAACGCTGACTCTTTTTCGCGCGGCCGCGGAACGACTCGACGTTGAGACTTCACACGGTCGAGAACCCTTGCAATAGCAATATCTGATGGTTGATGTTATCTCGCGGCTGGTCCTCTGTCGGCTCGGCTGATGTTGATCTTAATCTCACCGACAAGGTCCCGGCGGTCACGGGGGAGCTGACGGCGTCGGGCGCCGCTCGGAGCCTTCACGGCGCCGTCTCGTTCAAGATAGAGTCCGACTTCTACAACGCCAGGCTCATGGCGTGGGAGCCCCTGGTGGAGCCGTGGGGTGCTAGGGTGGAGCTCGAGGTTGGCCTTGGCGGCGCCGGCGCAAGGCGAAGCACCGGGCGGCAGGAACCGCCGCCGCCTTCTTCGTCGGCCGACCGGGCGGGGAGGCTTTCTTCCCCCGGACACCACGGGAGAGGGAGAAGAAACGGCCGCGACCGCGGCCGCGGCGGCGGCGGCGGAGGCCGCGGTCGCCAGCTGCAAGGGCTGGCGCGACGGCTGTCGACCCACGGAGCGCCTTGGCGCCAGCAGCAGCAACGGGAGTCGACGACGGGAGGCCTCGAGAGGGGGTCCGCGAGTGCGGAGGGGGGGCGGGGGAACAGGGCCACGGGGGGGTCGGGGGGGGTATTCGTTGGCGTGAGATTCGTGTCTGAAGACGTCCTTAACCTCAACCTCACGGAATCGCTCGTCGAGAACCTCGCCGCCATCGCGCACGCCCAGCAGCGGCAGGGGGAGTCGGAGAGGCAAGGCCGCGGTTGGGCCCGCGCTACCGCTGCCGGCGGCGGCACCGGCACCGGCGCCGGCGCCGGTGACAACTCCTTCTCGCTCCACTGGCTCCGCAACGAGACCGGCCTCCCCGTCGTTTGTTCGGCCCACTACCGCGAAGCCCGTGGCGGCGGCGGCGGCGGTGGCGGTAGTCTTGGTTTGACCGACGGCGAGGATGATGCCGAAGCGACGACGGTCCCCGTGAAAGTGCCGGTCGGCCAAGAAGCACCGGTGGCGGCTTCGTTGGGCCGGCCCGTTCGCGCGGTAGTCTTGGAGCTGGAGGAGAAGGGCGGGGAAAGGGAGGAGGAGGAGGAAGGGGCGACGAGCTGGCGGTCGCTGCGGCCGATCGCTCTGGACGTTGCGGGCGGGCAAAGGCTGGCGACGATGGTTGCTGCGACAGCGGCGGCGGCGGCGGCGGCGGCGGCTTCGTCCTCGTCTTCTACTCGCGAGGACAGGCATTCATCGGCCGGGGATGCTTCCGAGATGTTACGTTCGTCGTTGTCCAACGATGGAACCACCACGTCGTGGCGATCGGGAAGCTGGACGTGGGCTGCGCGAGCCTTGGCGGCGGCGCCGGAAGACGTGGCGGCGGTGGGAAGGAAAGGAAGGAAAGGAAGGGAGGCCGTGAAAGTGGTGACGGAAGTGGAATCTTATCGCGGGGTCAAGGTACAGACCCTCGTTTCTCCCCCCGGACGTGCGTGTTTCTGGTGATGCGGTGTGGTTTGTGGGATGGCTGGCGACTCGCCATGCATCGTCTTGGTTGGGTCTCCGGAAGGAGGGTGGAGCGTTTTTTTCGGCCTTCACCTTTGACGTTGTTGTGCCGCGTCAGCTCTCCTGTTGCCTTCGGACTTCGGACAAGGCAAAGCTCGACTCGTTGCTGCTTCGTATCTGGGCTCTCGTGCAAGCTCCGTGCCAGTTCTTGAAACACGTGGTTAAAAAAAAGTTTTTTTTGCAACTCCCACACCTTTCTTTTTGACCCTTCGTTGCCTGCGGCGTGCATTCTGTTGCTGTGTGTGTTCGTGTGTGGTGCGCGACGGCAGATGCTGCGCATCCGGAGTCTGGTCGAGGTTGCGAACGGCATGGGCGGCGACGTGTGCCTGCACGTGGGGCTGGTCGGAGAGGAGGAGGCGCCGGGAAGCAGCAGGAGGAGGCGCAGCCGCGGAGCCCCACGTTCCGGTTCCCGGTTCGAGTGGGAGACGATGGTTTTGCCCGGTAAATGAATCCGAAAGGAGACCGTGCTCTTGACAGGCGCAACTTCTTGGAACAAGGATCGAAGGGTACTCGTTAGCATGCCTGGCCAAAGGCTCCAGACACTGGGATCGAGGGGGGGCGGGGGGGGTCAGCGGCCGCGGCTGCTGCTGCATTTGCTCGAAAACTGTTTTTTGCGAAGCCGCTTCAATTTTTCGCTCTCCTGTTGACGGTGTGAGCGACTAGCTGCATCGGAGTCGCACCTTGAGCGTTCCGGGGCTCTTTTATTTTTTTTTTCGTTTTGTGCATCCCTGGCTTGATTGATCTGACGACTCTCGTAAGGTTTAGGTCGATCTGGTTCGGTCGTTCGAATCATCGCTGCCGATCGACGGTCACTGGCAATCTGGTGGTGTTCCCGCGCATTTCCGTCCACGGATGATAAGCGGTTTCTCACCACCACGATACTGGTATATAGGGGCACACACCACCTCTCCGGCGAAGCGTCATACACACTGGTACACGACGCTCGTTGCCCCCGCTTTGCCTACTTGTGGCTTTAAAGTACGGCTGCTTCCGTGCGGTGACGACAGCGACGGCGCTTCCTTTATTTTTTTCATTTCATCACATCGAATTGATTTCTATCCACAGATATAATAGATCAAATTATCAATGAATATAAATATGCAATGATTGTTCCCCCGTTTTTTTTTGTTCTCCGCCGTCAGGTCGATCGTGCCCGGTCCCCGCTACGCTAGCGGCGGCGGTGGTGGAAGGACGGAAGCTACTCGTCGTCAGGCCGGTCTTACGCCGCCGCCGCCACCGCCGCGGCTCCGGCCGCCACGACCAGCCACAACCAGGGGGGTCGTCAGACGCCACCACGGGAAGGCTGCCTGACCAGTCCTCCTCCTCCTTCTCCTCCTCCTCCTCCTCCTCCTCCTCCTCCTCGGGGAGTGATGATGGCCTTTCTTCTTCTGCTGCTGCTGCTGCTGCTGCTGCTTCGTCGCCCGGTGGCCACGGCGAGCGGGGGGCGAAGGCCGTTTCGGAAGCGGGCGTAGTGGCAGAAGAGTTTCAAGAGGTACGTAGATCGCGTTACAGTCTCTCTCCCTCTCTCTCTCTCTCTGTCTCTCTGTGTCTGTGTGTGTGTGTTGCCAATCCCCCACTTGACGTCGATTACATTACATTACACGTTGCGATGTATATTTGTGCGTTGCTAGATTTGTTTTTTGACTGCTCATGCTATTTACACGCGCGTGCTTGTCTTCACGCACCCTACCGTAGCGGCGTTGCTCTGTTTCCTTTCGTTCGGCGCTGTCGTACCGAGGCAACGCCAGCCACTACATCGCCAAGGTTTTGCCAGCCCACGTTCTCTCTCTCTCTCTCTCTCTCTCTCTCTCTCTCTCGGCCGTGCTCTCTTGTTGCGATCGCGTATGCGTGCAACTAAACGATGCGCGCGGGGGGTTTGGTCCCTCCCCCCCCCCGCACAGGCACTCCTCGTCCTACCCGACCGGGAAGAATGGGGGCTCCGCGAAGATACCACCGCGGACAGGACTGCGAGCTACCACCGCACCCTCGAGTTCGCCCCCGCGGGCCCCCCGCAACCCGGGAGGACGGGGCCCGTCTTCTGCGGGGTTTCCGTTGCCAGGAAGGCGTCGGCGGCGTCGGCGGCGTCGGCGGCGCCGAAGACCGGCGCCGGGAACGGCGCCGGAGGGAAGGTGACCACGGTCTCGTTCGTGCCGACCATGTCGCTCACCAACTTGTTGGCCACGCCGGCGGGCGTGCGGCTGTCGTGCCCTTCGTCGTTGCCGTCCTTGACCTTCCCTCGTGCCCGGGCTAAGAGCGTCGGGGGTGACGGAAGCGGCGGAGACCGGGCCGCCGCCGCCGCCGCCGCTGGCGGGGGAGGGGCGGGGGAATGGGCGTGGTCCGACACGATCGAACGAGGGGACGAATTGTCGTGGCTTCACTGTCCACCGGACGAAGAGGCAAGTTTTTTTTTTAATTCAGATGGGATGTGGCGACAGTTAGTCTTGTAGAATGAGTGTTTTTTTTTCTTCTCAGGCAACGCCCAATCGTTTTTCGGTGTACCTGCCTGTAGAAGGGCCGTCTGAACGAGAGACGAACGACTATGACGTGGTTTCGGACCGTGTCTTAGTCAGACACAATATTTATGCTTCTGAAACTGTCGTTCGACATGATAAACTGCACACTGCGGGTGTAGGTTGCCCTTGCACTCTTTTTTCGGTTGTTTTGTGTTTCATGATTTTTGAGGCAAAACGAAAGCACGGATAAATGACGTGGTGGTCCCCCGGTCGGTCGATGATCGTCATGTCATGTCATACGCCAAGTACAGTAAGCGTGCGGAGGTGTGGGTTGTTCTGTTTATGGTGCGTTCAGCGAGTGATTGATTGATTGATTGATGCGGTTGTGGCTCTTTTCGTCGTGACATAAAAATGGATACAATCCCCCCGCTCTCTTCGTTCCGAACCTTTGTTCCGTAACGTGACTGGATGCAGTCTAATCATACGCCAACCGGATCAACGGTCATTTTTGTTCGTTTTTCTCCGACGCTCTTCTCAATCCATCCCTCGGCGCGTTGATTGCTTCCACGGGGCGGGGGGTTGTCGCCCTTGCTGCTGCTGCTGCTGCTGCTGCTGCTGCTGCTTTCCTTGTTCCCAGGTGACCGCGGCCGTCTACCTGGAGGGGTTCGGGTGGAGCAAAGACTTCGTACTGCCGCTCCCACCGCCGCCGCCACTCAGAATAGGGGGGGGCCACATTGCGCTCCTCTCGGTCCTCCGCCGCGCTACCGAACGACGCCCTCACGGACGCCGAAATCGCCGCTGCCGCCGGAGGGGCTGCGGGCGCAGACCAGCTGCCACCGCCGCCGCCGCCGCCGGCAGTGCCCTGGACAACGGCGCAGAGGAACCTCTGGCGCAAGCGGCGGCTCGGCGGCGGTGGAGGCCTGGTGGTCGGCGGCGGCGGCGGGGTGGAGGAGGCAGCAGCGGTCGTGAGTGTCATCGTCGAAGCGGGGCTCAGCGATGTGCGCCAAGGGGGGGAGGGGGGGCTTCGGGTGAACGCTGAGGTGGCGTTTTTGGCGTGCGGGCGTCGGGAGGTGCGATGGGTGATGGAAGTAACGTTTCGTTAGGAGGGGTACTGGTAAGAGGAGGGCGGCTGGCCTTTTTTACAGGAGAGCGTGTACCAAGCGGCGGGTTGGTTTGGCTGGCTCGTACGCGGAGCAGTGTCTGGCTACGGTAGAACGGAAGCAGCGGGCCTTGCGGTATCCCAGTACTTGTAGTCGTTTCCGCCTCACTTGCTGGCGTGCCTCCAAGCCTCATCTATCCCTGTAAGTTTCCCGGTCGTTTTCGATCACCCCCCACCCTACCCAGACTCCGCGGGGCATCCCCACCCCGCACGGACCTG